GTAAACAACTCCAGGTTTCATGCGAACATATTTTTTAGGCTTTTGAAAATACGAAGCGATAAGATCTAAAAATTTTGAAACTTTTAATTTGCAGGCCGAAATTAGTTCACTTTGTTTTCGTTTTTTTTAAAACGGTTTCAAGATTGATTAGGGTTTTCTTCGCAATAAACGGAATAATTCCGTTGAGTGAATATTGACGTCAGAGAACTTCCAGCAAATTCTTTCAGTTTTTCATCTAGATGAAATGCTGCCCATTTTTCGCACAACCACAATTGTACAATATTTGTCATCACAATATTTAAAATTAGTTTTGCTGATCTTGAGTCTTGTCTATATTTAACTACCTTCTTTTGAGATTTACTCGTATATTAATTGCTATTATCGCATAATGTAGAAATTATAATTTACAGTAATGGCTGAGTATTTTCTGCACCCGCTGTTCAGGTAGCGACATCTGTCCGAGTTTGAGATAGAATTTTTGATGTAGAATAGCTGTTCGAAGATTCCATTTTTCTGCTTTCCCAAAAATTTATAAATCTGGGATATTATTTTCAACAGGATAGGAAATGAAAAGTACAGGAATCGGATAAAAATGATAAATTATAGTAATGGCTGAATATTTTGAAAATCGTAATTCTTCGAAGCAGGCAGCGTAACGAGGAAGCGACATCTGTTCGAGTTTGAGAGTGCATTTTTGACGTAGAACAACTGTGCCAAGATTCCAATTTTCTGCTTTCACATAAATTTAAAAAATCTGGGATTTTTTTTCAACAAGATGCGAACTGAAAAGCACAGGATCAGGATAAAAATTATAATTTATATTTCGTAATGGCTGAATATTTTATGAATCGTAATTCCTCGTAGCAGGCGGCGGATCAAGTAGCGACATCTGTTCGAGTTTGAGAGTGCATTTTGTAATGGAAAAATGCTTTTCACGAATGTATTTTTTCCCTGCTTTTAAGTGAATTTACGTGGGAAAACTATTTTTTTTTTTTACAGGATGGGAAATGAAAAGTACAGGACGAAATCTATGCCGAAAACAACGGCCCCCAAGTGGCTGGAGCAGTTTGATCTCCATTTGTATGATGATCAATCCCAGCTACTTGAAGTCACTGTCTGGGACAACGACCCCAGAAAAGACGAAATCCTCGGCAGGTAAAAAACAACATTCTGTCGACTTCATATTACAGTCAACCCCCGTTTAATGGACTTGATTTGTGCAAGGGACAAGTCTGTTAGACAAAAAGTCCTTTACACAAATTCAATTGCATAAAAAATTTAAAATTTCAATTTTCAACACTAATTTCAAACCAGCAAAAGAAGTCTGTTTGGCGGATTTTGTCTGTTGGGCAGGAGGAAAAACTGCTTGCAGAGCTGGTCTGTTTGGCAAAAATCCCTTACACGNGCGGATTTTGTCTGTTGGGCAGGAGGAAAAACTGCTTGCAGAGCTGGTCTGTTTGGCAAAAATCCCTTACACGGGAGGTCTGTTAGGCAGGGGGCCACTGTATTCTTTCGGATGCATGTCGCTTTAAATACCCAGTGTTTATAGATATTGGATATCAATTTTGTTGAAACAGATGCACAATCAATTTGTCCGAACTGGACAGAGAAACAACGCACAGGATCAAGAAGAACTTGGAAGAGGGCTCAGGAAGTGTTCTCCTGCTTTTGACAATCACCGGAACTACGAATTCTGAAACAATTTCCGACCTTGCCGCTTATCAACAGCAGCAGGTTGAAAACGAAAGAGAAGAGGAGTACAGATCTCGACGATATGTAAGTTTTTTTTAATATTTTGAATAATTTCAATGTAGTGTATATTACATTTAAATGCTCTGTAAACTTCGGAAAATCTAATTGAAATCCTCAGAATCCCTTTTGCATTTCCTGAAAGTTTTTTTTTTCCTGTTGCTCCTATATACATTCCTTATGAGCAGATTTTGTACTTCTTGAAATAATTTTTGAAGGAATGGTCCCAAATTTTCTGAAAACCCCTGCGTATTCTTCCGCAATTTTTTTTGGCAAATAATTAATATCCTCGTGTTTATAATTTCCGAGAATACACGAGTTTTTTGAGCATCTTTCAAAAAATTAATTGTCGTTAATTGAAATTTCTGGATGGAATAAAGGGTGAAAAACGGAATTTATTTAATTTTAAAAAAATGTACTACGGCCGTTTTTGAGTATATTGAGCATTTCTTCTTTAGTTTTTTTTTTCTCATATTCTTTCTGAATCTTTTGTGCAGCGATTTTTATCTTTTGATGCTTTGAATAATCATCGCAGACGAGTGTTGCTAAATTTTCTCGAACAACCTGTTCGTGGTTCTACCTTTCCTTTTGGCAATAAATCCGGAGCTTCGTAATTATACAAATTGCTAAAATACGTAATTTTTGATTTTCATTCAGCGAATTATCGTATATTGAAGTCGCTTGAAATAGAATGAAAAGCTCAAATTACTGTATCTCAATTTATGAATTTGAAAATACAGTCCTGTAAAATCCAGGTTCTGCTTATTTTTACACTCGACATTTGTGTAGATTTTTTGAAATTTCGTGTATGATTTTTTTTCATCTGATTTTATTGCACCAATTGTTAGCAAAAATGATGTCGTAAATTTTCTGGGCTATTGATCTTGTTCTTTTCCCTTTGCGGAAACAAACTCAAAACTTCATATTTTTATTGCTATAGTTCACTAAAATGCACACGTTTTTGAAATCAAAGTGTATCGCTGTGAATTGAAACTCCTGGGAACAGAAAGAAAATACAATGACGAGAAGAAACATGTATTTCTCGAACTCGGGAAGAATCCTTTTCAACGCGTCGTTAAATGAATTTGCAGAGCATTCTCCGGACTTGGCACAATGTCAAAGACGTGGGTCATTTGACAGTCAAGGTGTTCAAGGCCCAGGGACTAGCAGCAGCTGACCTCGGAGGGAAAAGTGACCCTTTCTGCGTGCTGGAACTAGTGAATGCCAGACTGCAGACCCAAACTGAGTACAAAACCCTGAGCCCCAACTGGCACAAGATTTTCACATTGTAAGGCTTTAAAAAAACCTGATTTTTTTATTAATTATCATTTTGACAGTTTCCCTCAACCTTTTTGGGCCTGAGGACTGGAAAATTTCCATGAAATTTTTTTTAGGGCCTTCAAATTTCCAAAAAACAAAAATTTNGCGGATTTTGTCTGTTGGGCAGGAGGAAAAACTGCTTGCAGAGCTGGTCTGTTTGGCAAAAATCCCTTACACGGGAGGTCTGTTAGGCAGGGGGCCACTGTATTCTTTCGGATGCATGTCGCTTTAAATACCCAGTGTTTATAGATATTGGATATCAATTTTGTTAAACAGATGCACAATCAATTTGTCCGAACTGGACAGAGAAACAACGCACAGGATCAAGAAGAACTTGGAAGAGGGCTCAGGAAGTGTTCTCCTGCTTTTGACAATCACCGGAACTACGAATTCGGAAACAATTTCCGACCTTGCCGCTTATCAACAGCAGCAGGTTGAAAACGAAAGGGAAGAGGAGTACAGATCTCGACGATATGTAAGTTTTTTTTTAATATTTTGAACAATTTCAATGTAGTGTATATTACATTTAAATGCTCTGTAAACTTCGGAAAATCTAATTGAAATCCTCAGAATCCCTTTTGAATTTCCTGAAAGTTTTTCTCCTGTTGCTCCTATATATACATTCCTTATGAGCAGATTTTGTACTTCTTTAAATAATTTTTGAAGAAAGGGTCCCAAATTTTCTGAAAACCCCTGCGTATTCTTCCGCAATTTTTTTTGGCAAATAATTAATATCCTCGTGTTAATAATTTTCGAGAATACACGAGTTTTTTGAGCATCTTTCAAAAAGTTTAATCGTCGTTGATTGAAATTTCTGGACGGGGAAAGGGTGAAAAACGGAACTTATTTAATTAAAAAAAATTTGTACTACGGCCGTTTTTGAGTATATTGAGCATTTTTTCTTTAGTTTTTTTTCTCATATTCTTTCTGATTTTTTTGTGCAGCGATTTTTATCTTTTGATGCTTTGAATAATCATCGAAGACGAGTGTTGCTAAATTTTCTCGAACAACCTGTTTGTGGTTCTACCTTTCCTTTTGGCAATGAATCCGGAGCTTCGTAATTATACAAATTTCTATAATACGGAATTTTTGCTTTTCATTCAGCGAATTATCGTATATTGAAGTTGCTTGAAACAGAATGAAAAGCTCGAATTACTGTATCTCAATTTATGAATTTGAAAAGACAGTCTTGTAAAATCCAGGTTCTGCTTATTTTTACACTCGACATTTCTGTAGATTTTTTTGAAATTTCGTGTATGAAAAAAAAGTAGACTAAAATAACGTGGTTAACAATCGTTTTTACTACAGCATTTAAAAGACCCGATAACTAGAACAAGAAAAGGGAAACGCCTTTGTTTGAGTTTTGAAGTATAAAAATAACGATATCTTCACTAAAATGCACACGTTTTTGAAATCAAAGTGTATCGCTGTGAATTGAAACTCCTGGGAACAGAAAGAAAATACAATGACGAGAAGAAACATGTATTTCTCGAACTCGGGAAGAATCCTTTTCAACGCGTCGTTAAATGAATTTGCAGAGCATTCTCCGGACTTGGCACAATGTCAAAGACGTGGGTCATTTGACAGTCAAGGTGTTCAAGGCCCAGGGACTAGCAGCAGCTGACGAGCCTCCCTTTTCACTGGGAAAGACGCACGACCTTGATCACTTACGGTCTGACGTCTGGGTTTGACTCATGTTTTGGGACTCGGGGTTGACCGTGTTCTAAAAGTGTAACATTCCGAAATTTTTTTACCTGATTTTTTTTATTAATTATCATTTTGACAGTTTCCCCCCAACATGTTTGGGCCTAAGGAACTGGAAAATTTCCATTAATCTTTTTTTAAGGCCTTCAAATTTCCACCAAAAAAAATTTCCGACCAGCAAAGTTTTATAAACTTTTTCCAGCGTCAAAAAAGCTTTGCTTGAAATACTTCATAGGATAGATATTAAACCCTTTGGATGGTGGAGGGTTCAATTTAGTTCGTGGTAGATTTAGTCTGAATGATCAAAATAATTTGGTAGGAATCCATGTTGAAGTATTGGATTGTATTTCAAACCCATCCAATTTCGTAAACATGGCAATTTGACGAAACACGGAATAGGTGTCGCCTGAATCTCATGCTTGAAATTCATTTGATCTATTTTAGCATATATACGGCGTAACCTTTTATTTAAATTATGACTGATATAATGTTTTGCGTTGTTCGAAAAGGTTTGTTTCTTCAGTTTTACCGATCAAGGTGACGCACATTGATTTTTTTTCATGTGTAGGAATTTCAAATGCATGTAAATAATTTGTTGGGTCTATCTGCTGTGGCGAAAGACTATACATCCAGGGATGTTCTATTCGTGCTTTTTCTTATATTTCAGTAACGTGAAAGACATTCATTCCGTCTTAGAAGTGACAGTTTATGATGAAGATCGGGACAACAAAGTCGACTTCCTGGGTAAAGTGTCCATTCCTTTGCTTCGGATCCAAAACGGAGAAAAGAAATGGTATGCTTTGAAAGACAAAAAACTAAGGAGGCGAGCAAAGGGCACAAACCCGCAAATCCTTCTCGAAATGACAATCATATTCAATCCAGTGAGTTCCACGGATTTTTGGGATTATTGGCGAGGTCTCGATATCGCGAATTTCAGATATTGTGGATAGGTGTCGCCTGAATGCTAATATTTTACTTTTCTCTTGGTGGGAAATATCAGTTGATTCAGTTTTTATACAAGGTTGAAATTCCAAAAGAAATGAATGTTTCCGCAAAATTTTAAATAAAATATGCACACAGAATCAGCCTAAAAGAGGCAAGAATGTTATTTTATTAATTTAATTCTGCCAATACATCTTTTAATCACTGAATGAAGCAAATTCTAATAATTGATCACAAATGCACTCACAAAACTAGCGCCCATTTGTTCTCTACACCCTATTTATGAGTTTTTAGCAAAAAATTGTCTCTTCTATTAACCCTCAGTTTCACTACTATGTACTCTTCAAGGCCTGGAATTTTACTAGCAGTGGAAAAAATGGCACGACTGGTTGTATAAATATTCTGTCCCTTTGCTTATTCTTAATTTTGAATCCAAAAATCTTACATTATGGGTTGCCTAAGGAGCGACACCTATAAATTAAACAGAGAAAATGTGAAAGATGGAACTGCCGAATAGTGCCAATTAGTTAGCTGAAATTGACTTCCCTCACTTAGTTCACCTTTTCTTTCAATTTTTCAGATCCGAGCCAGCATAAGAACATTTGATCCAGCTGAGGAAAAATACATGGCGACTGAGCCGAAGTTCAAGAGAGAAATCTTCGTCCGAAACGTTATGCGGTTGAAGAACATGGTCATGACTTTTGTGAACATGTCGAAAACAGTCTCGTAAATGACCAAATTTCCACGAATTATGCATAAAACTCGAAATTATTTTGCGTTGCTGATTCTAGGAGCTGGTTGGAGTGGGAAAGTCCTCCACGAAGTATCGCGGCTTTCGGGTGTTTCATGGTCGCCACGTATACATTTGAGCTTTACATGGTACCCATTGTGTTCCTCGCTTTTTTCGCGAAGAACTACCTCGTGAGTAAAAATCTTAACCTCTTTCTCCTCACTTCAAATCCCGTTAGCAGGTGTCGCTTCAACCTAAATTTAAATTCACCCGTCAAGCCCGCAGCATGTATGACTTAGCTGGATTCAATGCTGATGTATTTCAATATAATTCTGATTTTGAAAAAGGTTTCGTCGGAAATTTGATCTTGAACAGAACAGTTTTTATATCTTTGCACTGGATTTTTTTTTCGGAAATGCAGTACCCAATTCACTTTTCAAACGAGCGAGGCGTCTCGAATCTACTGTCCTGTTTTTGATGAAAGAAGTATTTAAAAGTGAAATACTCGTGTTTTGAGGTACACTATATACGAATTTCAATGAAATGCATAAAATTTCAACATTTATAGAGTGCGCGTGTTCGCTGAAAATTTTCAAAATGTACGTACAGTACTTTACGTTCTGCATCGTGAACGAATTTATACGTGAATAGACGTGACACCTTTACGTAGCAACAAAATATCAAAAATGTTCGAGTACAGTACTGCGTACAGATGTCACGCCAAAAATCGTTGCCTTTAGTTCGGAACTTGAATTAATCCAGCAGCAAGGCAGCAACTGCTGACATATTATAGTTGATGGTGTTACTCGATGCATTTATTTATAATTACATTATATAGTACTGTACTTTATATTTATACGTACTGGATTCGAATACAAATGCAGTACAGTATATTATTAGATTGAGTTTTGTCATTTTCACAGATGATATGTATGGCGAATGACCGAGGAATCGGCACCCAATGGGATGAGATTGACGACGCGGAAGAGGAAGATGAGTTCGTTGGAATGGCCGAAGAAGCAGATGTAAATAATGCAATGCTTTTGTATATATTCCACACCTATCATCAGAGAATTGATAGATGAACAAGAAACGTTCTTTTAATTGCAGGAAGAAAAGAAAACTTGGAAGGAGAAATTGCAGGCGATTCAGGAGGTAACGCAAACTGTGCAGAACGTGATGGGAAACATAGCGTCGCTATGGGAACGAACGTTACAGTGAGTGACATCTACTTTCCAAGAAGCATTGATTGCGTTCAGCGTTCGAGATTTACTTGACCTAGAGGTCTTTTTGATTCCGTTCGCAGCGTTTTCAACTTCACTATCCCGTTTTTGTCCTGGTTGGCCATATTCTTGCTGTGTCTGGTTGCTCTGGTTCTGTACGTGGTTCCTCTGCGGGCAATGATATTCATCTGGGGGGTTCTCAAGTTCACCAAGAAGCTTGTGAGACCTCATGCTCTCAACAACAATGAGATCTTAGATTTCATTTGGCGGCTTCCTGATGGGGAACAACTGGTAAAAATGCATCTTTTATAGCCTATAAAATTCCTTTGATTATAATCAGTTATAATTTCGAGCATTCCATGAATGCAAGCGGCTGTCCTCAGCGCCGCTCTGCTCTAGACTAGAGACATCTATGGGAAAGAAAGATTTGCAAGCACGAGTAGACCAAAAGTAGTTTGCCATCTCTCATACAGATGACGCCCATTGTTTTCATCTCTCGTTTCTCCACTTAAAAAATCCGTTCTTCTGAAAACCTACGAACGTTTTGAAGTTACAGCATTTCAGAACTCGTTGTTACGGTAAATGAAAAATGCTATTCTCTCATCGATCTGAAGAAGACCGAAAACGTCAGTTAAACTTAGCTGCATATAGATGTCTCTCCTTGAGCTGACAATGTTCTGTCTTACATTTTACAGGTGGAATACAGAGAACTGAAGCTGATCCCCAGAGTGGATTCCGACAAAAGGAAGGACAACAAGAAAAGTCACAGGAAACCTAACACATGATCAATTTGATCTCTTTTTCATGTTCTTAAAGGGGAAAATCAGTTTCCTTCAAAATGTGTGACAAAAGTTTCGTTTCTGTTTCAAACATTATATAGTCATGCGGGAAAGGAGTGGCATCTCCTTTCTGATTCTTCAGAGAATCACCTATCAATAACTTTGCAGAAATCCTTAATTTGCAGATATGCAAATCAGCCAAACTTCCAAATTTCCATCAGTCTACATTTATTTTAGATTTAGTTTTTCTATGTTCAGTGGATTATTTATGTTTTTAGCTGGGTTGCGGCCAGTTTAAAAACAGGGCAGTTTTTGTTTTCACAAGACTCAGAGGATTTTTTCTTGACTTTTTGTGGGTTGACGTTGTTTTGCTGGCCAACAACCGAAAATTGCTTTAAAATTGAGTCTTTCTCCAAACAGATTATTTTTGCAAACATTGCGAATAACTTCGGAAGAAGTTGTTTTCTCATCTATATTAGCTGCTTATCGAAAAATGTTTTTGAAGATCGTTTCAAAATGAGCTAAGAAAATTTTAAGGTGCCAATTCAAGCACAAAAATATTTGAAATGTTTTTATCGCTTTGAGTCGCTGTTGAAAGTCCGAGGAATTTTTTGTGATATCCAAGAAGTGGCTTTATGTGATTTTCATGACATTTGCGGAAAAAGAAGGTGAAAAGCAAACGCGCCTTCGCATGTTATCGATAATGACATTCATGTTTTTTTCTTTGAAAGAATAAACGAGTTCATTTATCTTCGCTTATGAAATTCGGAGTGAACTATTTATTTGACCATGAAACTCAGACAAAAATTCAGTGCGATTTGCAGCTTCTGCGACATGTGACTTTTATCCTTCGTAGCTTTTCTCCCCTATAATTTCAACATATTCCCAGTTTTCGAACTCTTGCATTTGTTTCATGAATGTTTCCAGATAGCCAATCTTCAAATAACATGAGTAGAATATTCCTTATTCGTAAATTGTTACCTATTCTATTTCTAACTTGGAAACCTTACAAAACCACACAGGAAAGGGAAGGTCATTTATTTTAAAGAATGCTGCATGGATAAAACCAGAAATGTTAGTGCAGCAGAAAATCCCTGAGATTCAGCATATATTTGGGGAAAACCAGAAATTTCAGTACAACAGAACATTGTCCAAAATTCAAAAAATTCTTGGGAAAACTAGAAAATGAAATGTAAAAGAAAAAAGGTGTGTGAAGAGTTTGACATGGCGGAGGAGGGGGGGGGGGTGTCTGGGAAGAACCTGAAATTTCTGTGCACAGAGTTGCTATGGGACTGTCTCAAATTGTCCCTGTCTCATATTGTCCATGTCTCATACTGTCCCTGCCTCATATTGTCCCTGTCGCATATTGTCCCTGTCTCATATTGTCACTGTCTCATATTGTCACTGTCTCATATTGTCCCTGTCTCATATTGTCCCTGTCTCATATTCTCCCTGTATCATATTGCCCCTGTCTCTAAATGTCCATTTCTCCAATTGTCCTAGTCTCAAATTGTCCCTGTCTTGAATTGTCCCTGTCTTGAATTGTCCCTGTCTTGAATTGTCCCTGCCTTGAATTTTCTGTCTTGCTTTTTCCATATCCCTGCTGATTTTGGATAGTAAAATCAAAAAGTCCAATTTTTGGCATCCTTTGCCAGGAAAAAGTACTGCATTTATCTGTAGCACAAATTAAAACACATAATTAGCCTGAATCTCAGGCACTATGATAGAGACTCTGTGAAAACGCCTGCACGGATTATTACAGCAAATTCTCCCCTAAGTAAAAAAAAATATATTTTATGTGAACATAAATATTTAACACAGTACCTATCGTCCGGTACTGGGAGATTCTTTATTTTCCACAATATTTATTGCAAATTGTCAAGTTTATTTTGAGCTATTGCATATATATATCAACTAATTCCGAATTTCCCTACAATAAACATGAAAATCATGGTTCAATAAGGCCGCCGAATCCTCTAACACAAAAAAGCTGAAATGCGTTTTCTAAATCTTTTTTAAATACATGTATATGCATAAAACAAAGCATCATAAAATCAGATAAACCTAATTTTGGATCCAGGCTTCCCCCTAAAGCCACAAAATTATCGCACTAAAAAACGATTTCGATCCAGACTAGGTTTTTAAATTACTTATTTGGTTATACAGTATCATCAAATAAGCGATCTTTTGGAACTTGAGTAACCCAAAAACAAATACTGAAGCGTGATGTCTCAATTTGTTTTACATAATTCCAAAAAGATTTGTTTAATTCTTTATAATGAAGGTAAACATCCATAAAAATTTCAGAACAACATCTGAAATTATTTATAGGCTACGATTCTTCAATCTCTCGAGTTCTCAAGCGAACATATTTTACACCTCGTTCAAGAATCTACAGGAATCTGTGAGCCGATGCAACAGTTTCAACGAATTAAAAACATTTCGAAACACAAATCTCAATGAAATACTCTTTCAAATATTCGAGTGAAAAATAAAGTCAAGAAAACCCGGAAACCCAGGACGAAACGTGACACAATTATTATTTAGTCAGAAGAAGTCACGTGGTCACTCTTGAACTGGGAAAAAGACCACCAGAACGCTATGATTTTTTCACAAAAAATCGCAAGTTTCTAATACAGTATTCCGGAATTTATGCATTCAAGGGTACAGGAAATGAGACCCTCACACACAAAAAAAGCAAACAAAGCGAATAAAAATGCGAATAGTAGTGAGGAATGCAGTGAGAAAGAAGGTTCTTTCGTCATGAATAATTTCGCATGCGGATCACGTTGCTGCTGCTTTTCATGCCCTGCTCGCTTTTTTGTACCCATTGGCCGTGGATTTGCAGCAAGGGTTCTTCTCGTGCATCAGGCAAATGCACATCAAGATGGAAAAGCCGAGAACTGGAACAGAAAAGTTTGCACACATGCACAGAAAAAGCAATTAGAAGGCCGTAAAATATTCAGGGATGATCCGGAAACACAGTCTTCTATTATCCCGGTGGACCAATTTTGAGAATGCCTCCGCATTTTTTTTTTTTTCAGAAAGAGAAATGCTCAAGCATGTCAGACAACCCCATCGACTAGCAAAACAAATTTGTTAGTAACCTGGATATAATCCTGCAAAGTATAGCAATGGGCGCAAAACTGAATCATCGGGGATCGAATAAAACATGTGGAAATACTTTAAAACAGAGATTTATTATTTTTTCCCATCAAGATGGAAAGGCCCAGAACTGCAACAGAAAAGTTTGCATACCCACACACAAAGCACTTAGAAGGCTGTAAAATATTCAGGGATGATCCGAAAACACGGTCTTCTGACTATTATCCTGGTGGACCGATTTTAAGAATGCCTCTCAATTTTTTTTTTTTTGCAGAAAGAGAAATGCTCAGCATGTCAGACAACCCCATCGACTATAGCAAAACAAAGTCTCGAAGTAACCTGGATATAATCATGCAAAGTAAAGCAATGGGCTCAAAACTGAACCATCCTGGGATCGAATAAAACATGTGGAAATATTTTAAAACAAAGATATATTCTTATTTCCACATTAAGATGGAAAGGCCCAAAACTGCGACAGAAAAGTTTGCGTACACACACAAATAGCACTTAGAAGGCTATAAAAGATTCAGGGATGATCAGGAAACACAGTCTTCTGACTATTATCTTGATGGACCACTTTTGAGAATGCCTCCGCAGTTTTTTTTTTTTTTTTAAGAAAGAGAACTGCTCAATATGACAGAAAACCCCTAGAAGACTATAGCAAAACAACTTTTTAACTGAATCCTAGGAGAATAAAACATGTGGATATATTTTAAAACAAGGATATCTTCTTATTTTCACATCAAGATGGAAAAGGCGCAAACTGCGACAGAAAATTGTTCACCGAAAAATTCAAATGCAAGACTGTATAAAATATTCAACGATTATCCGGAAACAGAGTCCTATAATTCTGACTATATTATCTTGGTGGACCACTTTTTTGAAGAAACTTTTCAGTTTTTCTTTGCAGAAGAAAAATTCTCAAAAGGTCAGAAAACCCGATTAACAAAACAAATATTGTAAATCACCTGGATAAAATAAGAAAAAGTAAAGCCATGATTTTAAAACTGATTCCTTATATAGGGAGAGAAAAGCGTGAAGACCAATTTAAAAGCAAAAATATCTTCTCATTTTCACAGCACGATACAAAATCCATCAACTGCAGCAGAAAATGTTGCACAAATTACAATTATAAAACCGTAGAATATTCAGCGATGATCCGAAAACGCAGTCCTTTGACTATTAACTTAATAATGGACCGATTCGAGAGTACCTCCTCAACAGTAACATTTTTATTTGCAGAATAAAGATGCTCAGCATATTTTATAGAAAACTTGAAAAAATTATAATTAAAGCAGATAAAATAATAAAAAGTACAGGAATAATCCAAAAATCAACCATTGCTGGGGGACTAGCTGAACAGGGTGGACCAATTTTAAACCAAAAACCTCTTCCTGATTTTAGTTTTTCACTTGACAAAATTAAAATGCGTCTATTGTTACGGGTTTTATGCAAAGATATTTTTATTGAATGTTTTCTGCTTCCATATTGATGCTTTAGAACATTTGTGACAAAATATTACCCCTATACGATTTAGTATCCCTCCAATAAGTCACCAAAAATATTCACCAGTCATGCAAATCCAACAAATTTTCAAAATACAGTATCGCACTATTTTTTCATTTTCTTTTCCTGTCCTAGGATATGTTTGGAAAGAAATTGAGCTACGTGAAACAGAATAATAACGCCTTTGAAGCCGAAAAAACTTTCTGCCGGTTTTCAAAGAAACTTCTTGAATTTAATCTACATGCCGTCCGCTGAAAACTTCCCATAGCTCACGAAAGTGTACCACACAGTCCCTTTTCCATCTTTTCTTTTTGCTTCAGGAAGATATTCGATTCAAGTATTTGGCCAGATTTTCAATTTTTCGTCCACGAAGAAATACAGGTCTCGAAGCGAAAGTTTAGAGGAAGATAAATTAAGATGCAAACTGCTTTGAAACGGAAAACTGAACCATTTGAAAAGTTGAAATTGAAGCAAGCATGTAATTGGGCCTCATTTTTGAAACATTTTTAAGCTGGCCGATATTTTAAAAAGTTTAGTTTATACTTCCGCAACGTTAGGAATAGTGTTTGTAAACACAAATTTATACAAACCACTGGAAAATGAACCTACATTTATGAAATAAGAAGTTCAGGTACAGTATAATATTCTATATTTTTGGCACAGATATAACAACACTAACATACAGGGAAACTTATGTCGATTAAAATTTTTTTAATAAAACATTCTCGCAAAAAATTGACGACTCACTTCCAGCTGAAGGCAAAAAGATGGACCACATTTGCTTGAATGGGTTTGTTGGCTTCTTCTTCTTGGCTACAAGAACTTCAAATGTATCAATATTGACTGTGTCATCAATTACAGCTTGTCCGCTTTTGTCAGCAGGTCGGAAACCATAGTTAACATGTGCCTGTAAGTAAAAATGAAACACTCTCCAACAAATATATGTAGAAAAGCTGAAACATGTTCCTTCAACTTGAGCAATTAATAAACATTGAAAGCTGCATTTTCCATGTCAACAATCACAAAGTTGAAAAGTTTACCCATCCCCCCCCCCCTCTAGCATCTATTTGACACATTATGGCTTATCAAAAATAATTCACTATGTACAGTATGTAGGCTGTGATCTTAAGTTGTTTTTACGGGTAGCGCTGTGTGTGCAGGCTCCTGATATTTATCGTGTGTTTCCTCTTTTCTTTTCCCTTCCCAAAAAGGGTTCACTCTAAAAGTTGCATTGTCATGAGTTTTGAGGCCAGCAATCAAGGGCATTGCTGTCCTCCAGTGTGTGTGCGTATATATTTCTTTTTGCCAGTCAGCCTGCAAGTTGAGTAACCTGCTGGCTGACCACTGTGGCCCCCTTTAAGCTTCAATGCAACATTATACAAGTCAGCATTTGTGCCCAAGCTTTTGCAACAGACTGTTGTGTACTGCACTGAAATATACTGTTGCCTCTCTACGTGAGATCCTGGCGTATACTTTTATTTCAACTGTCTAAAAAACCTTTGGCCCACAAAGCACGCGGAAGATACTAATTAAGACCAGGATAAAATTGTTGTCTCAACAATTGTTGTCGAGGTCGGTAATAAACTTGCATTTAGACGTAATAGTAAGATTTTATTTAAGACTCACCAATTCTTGTATTTCTTAGGAAATAGGATAACGAGGCATTAAAATAAAATGCATCACAGCACGCATACATACAAATGCATGAATCAAAATGTCATCATTTCCTCTTTTTTTGAAGGATTACAAAAATCACAGCATAAGGCAATTACTGAGCTAAAATTAAAGTGCAACATCCTCAGCATTTTTCCAGATAATTTTAGCTGATTGAACAATCATTCTTCTGGTGAAAGAATGAGTATATTTTACTCCTATTGTTATGACTACCACATGAAAAGCACTTCTAAGTTCACTCAATCATTTAAGTCAGTGTTCTCCAACCTTTTTGGGCTTTTAGAACAGCAAATTTTCGAAAAAACTGTGAACTGGCAAATTCCCAGAAAAAAAGTTCTGCGAACTGGCAAAGTTTCATAATTTTTTGGGAATCTCCCCAAAGTTTGCTTGAATTTTATCAGGCAAGTAGATGAAAGAAAAATTCAGTTAAGAATACCATCAAACAATTAGAAAGGTGGGCTTGGAGAAAGGTTTCTAAGAATGAAAAATTAAATTAATTGATTTCAGCAGGCGAAAATTGTTTGAAGTGATGTTATTAGAAAAAAAACAACTTTTGTTTTCAGCAGGCGAAAATTGTTTGAAGTGATGTTATTAGGAAAAAAGACAACTTTGTTTTCATCAGAAAATTCAACTGCAATTGTCCTGAAATTTTAGGTAAAAACAACATACTTCTTCCTGACTATTTATACATTCATTGAGCTGAAAATTCCGCACAGACCAGCAAAAAACTTCTGTGGACTGGCATTGCTGGTCCATGGACCGCAGGTTGGGGAACACCAGTTTACATGCACATTTTGGCTTAATGTGCACCTCCATTTGATATTCCATTGTTCCCAAGAATCCCAGGATACGGTTCTAAGTCATTCTTCTTTCTTGCATTGTATGTTGAAAAAAATTATGTAAATACCTATTTGCATCAGTTGCTGTGCACATTCTGCAACATTGCTGGACTGAAGTTATGAATACTAGTGGGCCGCATTTTCAAGAAAGCTTCTGATCCAGACTGTACCATGAAACCTTGTCTATACATTATATCTCCTGGAAGTAAATTTTAAAAATGCAAATGGAAACTCACACCACCAACAACATTTGTGCAGGACATTCCTTTAGAATCGCAGATCATTTGCCTCCCAATGAGAAGATTGGGGTCTGCTGGACTCACTGGCAAAGCACATTTTGGAAAGTCACTGATATTCTTGCCCTTGAATGTGACTGATTCCCAGGTGATGACGGTTTCAAATTGTTCCACTAAATACTGTAAAATGAAAAAAACCAGAACGCCAAAATCTCTGTTGTGATTAGGTTTCATGAGCGTCAAATTCATATACGGATTCAAAATTGCTCAAAACATTGTATTCACTTGAGAAAAGCGCGCCCTTCAGTGAATAATATTCCTGGATTTTTTCCAGCATAAAACTCAGATGAAAACATAAAACCCGCAAGACAACAATCCTCATTTCTAATGTTGCTAGAAATAAAAATGTTCAAAATGGTCCCCAAAGATCCTCTCCTTCAGGAATCCTTCTTAAAGGAAAGCCAAATCCCGCTTTGCAAAGATTGATGTCTTGTTTTGGTTGATGATGGTACCTGAAAAGTACTGCTCGAGTCTTCTCAGGTTATGCCGTAAATTCATTATTTAAAAAGAGTAGATTCCCTTCTCAAAATGGGATAATTCTAGCGAAATTAATGCTGGAAGAACAATGGTCAAAACAATATATTATTTCTCAAGAGGGATTGTCTGAGAAGGGATAAAAAGTAAGACCCTTTCCTGGTTCAATTATCCTTCTTTCCACCCTAAGCTTGTTATATAATAAGTTCCTAGAAAATGTAGAACTAGATAGATTGTGGGTGCAGAAGTTAAGACGAATAAGTCATGCTCCTGCTGTAAATGAAAAATCTTAATTCTTTCCAACAAAAGAATATTATTCCGTCCCTGATTAAATTGTCATTTACTGCAATACAATTTCAGGTGCACTAAAATCTTGGTAGAACAACGCCATTCACCAGAAAAAGAGGCCTGTTAAAAAAAATATCTCGTAAAGAAATGCGGATAATAATTCAGCAATTTTGCAGACATCACGGAAAAAGTAAATTTATTTTTAAGCAATAGTTTTGTTAAACAATATTTTTTATACAAGTTTCTAAAATACATATCCTCAATTTTCAGGTTGCTGGTAGTACATAAATAAATTCCAGCCTAGAAAAATAAAAATACTCCAAAGTACCTTCGTTCTCGAGAGAAGGTTCTGGATTTGACGCGAGTATTTTTTTTTTTTTTTGCAGTAAAAAGGACTCTTGCTGATAAAATATTTCGATGGAAACGTTTCATTCCATCCTCTTTCATTCCATTTCAATGTCACGTTCGAACAAGCAAATAATACTTTCAGTAGACAAGAATAAAGGGCGAGAATGAGTAAGACGACAAATCTGATGTCATACGGATCATGTCTTATTTATACCTTCAACACCCACTCTCAGAGCAGATATATATTTTTTTAAATTGTCTGTCTTCCAACAAAAAAAAGCTCAGTGCTACACTTGTAGTACAAGTCTTGCGCAATGTATTATTCGCACAA